CACCTCCACCACCACCACCACCTTCATCACAACCACAACTACCACCACTACCACCACCACCAACAACAACAACAACAATAACATCAACAAGAAAAAACGACACAACCACCACCACCACCACCACCACCACCACCAACAACAACAACAACAAAAGACTACGAAAAAACAAAACCCACTTACCACTCCCGTCCCCACATTTCAGAGGCAAGAGGATAAACCCCGGCTGTGTCACGAGCTGCGATGAGCTGACTGCCGGAAAATACCCATCCTGCAAAGGCTGTGACCACTTCGCCCTGTGTACCAAACATGGCTACTTCAGAGAGCGAAAGTGCAAGAACAACAGAGAGTTCGACGTAGACGTCAATAAATGTGTCCAGGCCTCTAGCACCTGCTTCTATGAAGGCCAATAAATATAAAAAACAACAAACCAAAACAACCAAAAAAAAACCTTCAACAACTACAGCAAATCAACAACAACAACAAAAGAATGCTATGGCCGGACTGAGGACCAGTCCAAACGTTTTATGTTCCACTCAACAACAACAATGTTATGGTTTTGAATGTTATTTTCATTGTGAGCTCTTTCTTAGTGCAATATTGCTGAGATAATATGGCAAAGGGGAACTTGGTAGCTGTTTGCCTTTTGGTTAACTGTTTGCCTCTTAATGATAAAAGCGTATTCTTACCAATCAGCAAAATATGCAATAACCATTAATTGACACCAACTTTTGAAAAAAGAAAAGGGAAAAACAAAAACAGCAACAACAACACAATGAGAACATTTGAATAGAAGCCTAGAAAACCCCCCTAAAAAAGAAACCAACAACAACACTTACAACAGAAAACCAGCAAAAAAGCAGTTATTTGTACACATACTATGTCAAACACCTGAATCTCGAATAAGGTTTCTCGGAATTTTCCAGTAAGTCTAAAGCTTGTCATAAGAGCTTTTGTTACTTCTAGGATATTTATTCATAAAAAGTAAACACGAAGAGAACCAAGACACACCACAGACAATGCCCTTGACGCTTCGACCAAATCAAGTTGTGAAAATAAAAAGAGACTAGCATTATGTAGCATGATATTAAGTTTAGAATTGTTTTGTCATCCCCTATCAGCGTATTAGCCTTCCTTATCTTTATATACACATTGTGTAAGTGCCTTTTAGGACGTCCCATCCTCTTGGGCAGGGCTCTCAAACTCAAATTATCCCGAGACTCCCAGGGTTAGAGTCTGGGTGAGTCTATACCTCTTCAAGTATTCCATACAAAAAAATGTGAAACATTTTCACTTAAAAGTACAACTTTGAAATCACATTCATATGTGTTCGCAAACATTACCGATATATTTGACACGCCTGGGCGATGAAAGCAGATACTTTAATTAATTTTGAGAACGACTGAGAAGTCTAAATAAAATGGGCAAATCTAACTCTTGATTTTTATGTCAAATAGGAGCCTTAGAATAATAATGTTGTTGTTCTTTGGGCCTAAATTGGCCCCTGGGCCTCGAGATTGAGACCCCTGCTCTAGAGTGTCCATCATATTCCATGTTGCCATAGGGTAGAAGGATGTGAGTAAGTGCTAAGTAGAATTTATTAATAAATGCTTGATGAAACTTAGCCTGTGTAACACCTATTTTTGAGAGAAATTAGTTAGTCCCATATTATTATAATCATTTGTTTTTATGATGTATTGTCAATGTGAAAATAAATGTTGCAAAAAAGGTGAGAACGTGTGTTGTATGTGCCGTGTAAAATGTGAAGTCAGTGGTTTTTCCATAAGCATTCCCTCTTTGTTTTTTATGATATTAATGTGTCTTTTTCATGTCTTCTGATTCTGAAAGACGTTAGTTCAAATCTCACATTTTAACATAATATCTTTGGTGAGACATTACAGTTTACAGTTTGCTGCCAAAAGCAGTCACGTTTCATTCCATACTTACACTTCCCTGATCAGTTGAAAAATCAGAGCCTACTCTGAGTCGGAAAGGGCCTAAATACAATTTGTTACTCTGAGAGCTTTGAAAGAGAACCACTATCAAGACAAACAGGCTGTCCCAATTTTTGCTGTTTTTAAAACCATTCAGAAGACATCATTCTTCGTCCTTTGAAAGTCTGCAAAAGTGAAATAGTATTAGTACCGGTATTCGATTTTTTGTATGTGCCTGTAATCATGTTGCTAAGATAAATAAACATGTATCCAACAACATGCAAAGCCAGAGTCAACTTTGTACACTGAGAGAAATTCCAAAATAATGACGTAAGCAGAAATTGCGTTTGTACATTTAAATATCGGTGGAGTTTACCATGAGATTGCTTTGTTCTTGCTTTGGAATATGTTGTAGCTTTCAGATGTTGCTTCTGTTGGTAGCAGCATTGTTGTAGTTTGCTGCTGCTGCTGTTGTTGCTGTTGTGGTGGTGAAGTTGGTGGTATTGGTATGAGTGTTGCTGTAGTTACAGCTATTCCTGCTTCAGATATTGTTGTGAGGTTTACCATTATGGTGATGGATGTGGTTGCTGATGGGAGAAGGAGGTTGAAGAGAGAGGAAGTAGCAGGAACGGAGGAGGAAGAGAAGACGAAGTGATATTACCAATGACAAACTTTATAGGTCTCACGACGATCCAGAAATTCAACAAAAAGTAAAAGTAACATAAAGGAGAGGGTGGAAAGTGGTCTGAGGTTGTTGTTTGTTTGTTGTTGTTATTTTTTTTTGGGGGGGGGGTGTGGGGATGGGGGATGAATAGACTTAATGCACAGCTGCAGAAGATGAAAAAATCTCTGATAGGTCATTAGACTACAGAGACTTACAGCTTCAGGGGAATCCAAAATAAGAGCAGTCATTATTATAGAATAATTTGGTTTTGACTTGACATTCAAGGTATTTTAGTCTATTAAGTGTCGTATGAATTTAACGCCTCTTTCAATATGATTAAGTTATTAAGGAGGCGGAGCTCCAAATTTTAGAATCTTAAATCTCCAAAAAAAAAAACACTCCCCACCCCCAAAACAAGAACAACCAAATCAACACCCCCTTAAAAACAAACAACAAACATACAACAAACCAACCCCGCCAAAAACAAACAAACAAACAAACAAACAAACAAACAAACAAACAAACAAACAAACCCGGCCATTCCTCAGAAACGCCTGGTCTGGGATTCAAGCCATGGCCACCCCCTCCGTAGACTTACTTACTTACTCTCTTGCTATATCGTCCGGTACATAAGACGAAGAGCCATCCATTGCCTGTTTCAATGTCTTTGCTCTGTCTCATTACAAAATCGATCACAATTCCAAAAAGTACCGGTGATAGTATGCAGCCTTGTCTAGCACCAGTAATTCAAAAGGACCAGGTGTGGATAGTTTAAATTCAAATTTAGTTAACTGTTGTATGGATTTGACGCCTCTTTCAATGGGATAACGTTATTTAAGAGGCGGAACCTCTGAATTCGACAACCTTAAAATTTAAAAAATAAAACCCCTAAAAACAAAACAAAGCAAAGCAAACTCAATCCC